TGCTCTGCAACGATAACCCAATCTGTGGCTCATCCCGCCAACTTTGGCCACTTCTGCAGTCGTTAATCTGGAATCCATTTCGATGCTCCTCTTGACAGCCCTTTTTGTCCTTTCCGATGGACCAGGACGACCCGGACGCTGCTCAGTTGTTTCCTGAACTGCACGATGATTCTGTTGACTGTCAAAAGCGGGATTCCCAAATTCTGCAAAATTTGCCGCTGACTTATTCCACCATTTGCTTGACCAACTATCCTTCCTCTAACAAAATCTGACAATTCGAGAGAACCTCGAGTTCTAGGCATGTTGTAGCACAAGATAATTAGTGTGCAGACCATTTTCATTTATATAGTGCTCTGTGAACACAAATTAGTTAGCATAAATCAGTTAAATGACGAAAAATTAGGTGTCTATTTACTTGTGACCACTCACTGTAGATGTAGTTATTCTACTTTAGTTATATTTTAATTTGTTTGTGTCATGGTTTATAATCTCCTTACTTGAACTTTGTTTAGTACAGTTATAGTTTCTTGCTAATTTTTATTTCTTAATTTGTGCCAATTTTTCTTGGTTAGGTGTCCTGAATCTTCTACAATCAAACAGAAGATGTTATATTCAAGCAGCTATGATGCCCTCAAAAAATCTTTAGTTGGAATCTACAAATATGTTCAGGCGTGTGACTTCGACGAAGTCAGTAAGGATGTGGTTGAAGATACGCTGAAAAGAGGAGGCAAATAAATATCCTAATAGTCATACGGTTGATTTTTGATTGTCCCGTGTCATGAACGCTTTACTGACTCTACAAGCTGGATACAATGTCTAGAATGCGCACCATCCCTAAACACCTCATTGATTGATTGGTGTATTGTGACTACAATTTCTGACAGTAATATACAGTAGAAAATGAGCAATCCATTTTTTTAACTCTGTTTTCTATATATTGTTATTAACATATTGAAGTTTTTAGGTATTTATAGCATTTCTCCTGCATTTGACTAGAAATTGTTTTCTCTTCAACCTGTAGTCAGTCAAAGCTCATCTATTGTTGTTTATTTGTTCTTGTTTTTGTGTAACCATCATTTTTTGTTTTAGTCAAAACTTCCAAGTTTCTTATTTAAGACAGCTGATAAAGTGTGCTTTTAAATAATTTATTGTATCTATAAATGGAAAGTTGATACTAGTATAGATAAACTAAGTTGGTTATCATAAAGATATATTCAAAGTGTAAACCAAAGATAAGAACTTTATGGAATCTTAAAAATGATAAAATACAGAAAACAAAGAAAAACAAGCTTTAAACTGTAATTTTGTTTTACTTCTTTAGCTGTTTTACTCCCATGAAACATTTGTTTAGAAAAAGGAATTGCATGAAATTTTCCCTCTCCTTAGGCTATAACCTGTGTTATGAATCATACATACCCTTATGTGTAACTTATTTATTTATTTATTTCATGTACGTCCCTGGTAGTTTATTAAGCTAAAATGAAATATATTTAAAATGTTGGGCTGCTACTTATTTCAGATTAACTTATTTCATTAAATGTTTACAATACTGTACAATTAAACAGTGCATAATTAATTGTTAACCACAGTGGCTTAGAATTAAATGCTTTCTAACTTATGGTGAGAAAAAAAAACTAGTTTTAATCATGTACTGTAGTTGATGATTATATATGTTGATTTTATTTAAGTAGCAGTGAACTCAAGTCTTATTTATTTATTCTCAAGTTTTATGTATTTTTTGTTAAAATTCACAGAATAAAAAAGTCTGTGAAATAGATGCAAAGAAATCTGGCTGTAAGAATTACTTGTATAAATTTACATGCCATGCAAATATAACACACCAGCTTCTTAAGTATTGCATACTTAATTCTGACAATTTTCTTTTGTATATGTTCTTTATTTAAAAACAAAAACTTGTACACAAATATACATTGTACAAATACTAATCAGAATCAACCAAGATCAGTCTCAGTAGCTAAGTAGGCTATTGGAAAAAAAAAGCACATTGTTACTTACTTCTATATCATGTTTAAACAATAACCTGATGTTATATATATTATTCATTTTTGGTATAGAATCATGTAAATCATTAATCATTCAAAAGATAGCTCCAACATTTGAGACTAACAATAATTTCGACTTGTTCCATCTACTTATTAATAAGCCAACAGATACTCCAATAACTATGTAGTCAGTAACTCTTTCTACAGAAGGCTAACAATTATTTCATGATTTGTTTCATTTACTTATATAATCAGTCAACAGATATTCCAACCAAGAATATTAACCATTATAAACATAAGTGCTTTTTGATTGTAAATTTCTTTAGGCATACATTCAGGCATCTGTATATTTGTAAAACTGAACAATCATTAGTCATTATTAAGTATTATAGCACTTAATAGTAGGGATCGACAAGGTTTCCAAATAATTCACGTGTCAAAAACCATCCTTCTGAATTTCTAAGCAAAAAACTGACCATTGGTTGTGATTATGATATGCACATGTATGCTTACAATGCAGTAAAAATGTTGCTAACATTTCTAAAATAGCAACTTTTTCATCTACTACCTACCTGATCAGTGCTAGCCCCTAGGCAGCTCAGATTATCATTACAAGATTTCTCCAGCATACTTGACTGGTCTGTGGGTATCCGCTTTTGATATTCCAATAAATATATACAGATTTTTTTATAAATGGCAAACATGCATGAAATTAAATATCTTTAAAGCCCAATTTAACCCAACAGATGGCGCTACATAATGATGAATAGACATGCAACAATTTTTAAAGCTATATACTTTATGCAGGTAAAGATAAAAAGTAATCAAACAAGAGTATTAAAAAATTATGAATTTTAAAATGAAGTAGGGGATCCTGCTACAAAAAATAATGAAAAAAGAATTAAAACCACAATCACAAATTCATAAAATTTAATCCCTACTTTGGCAGCTTTATACACACTTATCTGTAGGCCAAAGTAAGGATTACATTTTATAAATTTGTAATTGTGGTTTTAATTCTTGTAAAAGTTATGGCTATATTGAAAGTTTATAAATGTCTTGTCCATTCTATGGACATATAAAAATGGACAAATAAATAGGAAAATATTAACGGAAAGTAGGTATTGTTGGTTATTTGTAGAATTGCTACAAGAAATATCCAAAACAAAATAAATACTGCAATATATTTGTTTTGGATACTTCATATAGTGATTCTACAAATAACCAACAATCCCTACTTTCCATTAAAATTTTAATTTTTTTCCTATTTATTTATTAAAAATTTGCATTATATTTGACAACACAACTTACACAAGACTTTTTATAAAACAATATTTTTGTCTATGACTACCTTTATATTTGCAGCAGTTGATTATTGCACCATATGATTCCATTAATAGCTACAGGTGTAAAGAAAAACTGAACTACTAGAGGTTATTAAGACCATCTTTCATCTAAGTGAAGTTTATAAACCAGTAAATTTATGCATTTTTAAGCAAAGTATAGCTTTGATACTTATAGTATGGCTCTTTTTAAAGAAACTTTTTAAATGTACAGTCAGATCACTCTTAAAAAAATAATCAGTAGTTATGTTTAAGAATTGCTTGGTTCATATTATCCTGATTGTATTGGGAATTATAAGGAATTGAATATGATTTCCTAAGTCCCCAGGGGAATATTTTTGTCTTGGTAATTTAGGAATGAAGCAGGATTTAGATTCACACTTCTTAATAAAATCTTTGGTGTGGTATGTGTGTAATTGATTTTATAGTATTATGTATAACTTACAGTCTTCAACAAATGTAATTTATTCTCATCATGAGCTTAAATGCAAGTCAGAATCACCCAAGCTTTAGAGGCTTTCTATGAAGTTAAATCCCAATTTCCTATTTAATACTCAAGATAGTGTGTGTACTCAAATGTACCCCAAAAAGGTTATTTAAGTTTATCACCTTGTGTAAACCAATAAATCTATTATAATGTGGTATCTGACATAGAAATTTATCTTTATACTTTAACTCCTAGAAATTCCAACTGACATTAATTCTGCAGGTGTGGTGTCTTCTACCAAATTAACCATCCTAGCAGTAGCAGTGTTGTGAAGTCCAGCCTCACTCATTGGGCACAAGCATGGTAACTGTTGATGCCAATATACTGCATGTGTATGTTTCATTAATAAACTTGACATGTCATCCATGTGTTGCATAGATGCTTATTGCTCCTAAGTACCATTTAACTCAAAGGAAAATAAAAGATGAGACAGGTAGGTGACCTGCACGTATGAGGTAGGACTACAGACATCTAAACTAGTCATGCTACCAGCCATGAAAAACTAGTTTGTTAAATACAACTTTCATTACAAAATGACAAGCTTGTTAGAACTACGTTTTGTAATGATGATTGATGAGTTGGCCCAGATACATCAAGCTCTAATCCAAAACTGATGGAGACACCCACTACTTAGTAGACTGGCTTTGATGCAGCAGTCTTATAAACAGAGTCCACTTCATCAACATTAAGAAGCAGTCAACATTAGTAAGCAACGTGCTAACCCTTACTACTCTACTTGAAATTGGACTGCATTATCAAGGAAATGAAGTTTATGGAGCACCTATAGACTACTAAGAAAAGTAGGCCAAACTAGTATTTAAATGAACAAAATGGGGGGGGGGGGCAGAACTAGTGACAAAAAAGAACAGTAAATTCCAACCTACCTTTAGCTCCGAATGTATAAGGAAGATAATGCAAGATCATCTACAAAAGATGCAGCCACTTTTCATCAACCACCATAATGATGCAGAGTTAAAAATGATTTTGATATCTCGGACGATACTATACATTCGTTCCACACAACCCATTAAATTTTCAAGATTCCCTCTTTAAAAGCTATATACTCACTTCTTACATGGAATTTAAAAAGAATGTAGGCTCCGTTATCTGTAACTTATCAATAATAAGAATGAAATTCAATTTTAAGTTATTTATAATATTATTCAGTGATACTTCAAGCTACGAGTTATAAAACTGTAAAAAATTGTTATTGTTGGGACTATGAGTTACAAGTTGCACCCATAGGTATTGGCACTTAATTATGTGAACACTTTATATTCGCTGATTCGACTCGTATAGTAGGCCTATTTTTTAAACAGAAAATATATTTTACAAATTCGGCAGTTGTAAGTATCCTAACTGAAATCTTCTCCTTAAAATTAGCTAATCCATGTTTTATATTTTATCATCATGAGTGCCACTGTTATTCCTTCTTTTCCATCTTTAGTTGACTTCCCCAGAGAACTGTACACTTTATCTGCCACATTAGTAAAGTACATTTCTAAGTTCAAAAGTAAGTCAACATACCTGTATCAAAGATTTTAAGCATGTGTTTGAGTTGCTTATTAGCAATTTTAAATTTCATTTTTATAGTCTTCTTGAATAGTATTGATAAATTTAATATTGATTTATAATCCACTGATTCTCTTACCATAAAAACCATGATATACTATAACCTAAGTAGATTTTCCAAGATTTTTTATTACTAAAACTGTTCCATTAAACCTTTTCTCAAACTACTGTGCTATGGTTTTATGTACTTATCAGAAATTGCTAGAGATAACTACTTCCCAGCACTAACAAATCCCCAATACTGATTTTTTCTTTTAAATTTATAAGGTGTATGGGAAGCAGTAAGCTTTAGTTTTAAGCAAAGAGTGAACAGTGTTTATTCCAGTTCATTTATTGCTTAATATCACTCACATGAATTACAGACCCTTCCAATAAAAGGATTTTTGTCAACTGGATGCTAAACCATATGACTTTTTTCCACACTGATCTTAAATTTTGTATCCCAACATGCATTTTACACCATTATGGCCCAAACATGTGTCACAAGGCATTTAAGTTTGAAGAAATTGCAATGTGACTTTAGTATGCTACAAGCTGAAGTTCTTAGTGTTGTTTTGCTGCTGTCTTAGGTATAAATCAAAATGTGTTTTCATGTTTGGAAGCAAAATAGAATTCAGGGAAATGTAAATAAATGTTAAGAAAGTAGCCAAATAGAGCAATAAATTCAGGAAGTGTGTTTTTTAAACATATAGGCTCACCATTCTTTCATGACAGCACAGAAGACCAGTTGTAACCTTCAAAGTTTATCTGGATTTCTTGTATCAACCTAAACTACCTATAATAGTAGGTAGACAAACAGTGATTTATAAGAACAAGAAAAAGTTTTACTGATGGTGCAACATACTATTTGTTTCGACATAACTTTGGTCTGTATTCTTCAGGAGGTTAGTATGTGGTCACTACCTTCAAAAACTGTTGAAATTGGGCTCAAGACTATCCATGAATGGATGTCAATATCTGGAAAGGGAAGTTCATGTTTTACGTTGACTTAACAGGCCATCATGCAAGATTGTGGAGATGACCTTGTGAGTGTTAGCACAATGCTAACATCATTGAACATGAATGTTAGGGAGGTAAGTCCCACAGTCTAGGGTAACATCAGCTTCAATGGCAAGACTGGCATCTACATGTACCAAAACAGCTATTTGACAGCTTTGCAGTACATGGGTGGATGAGATCCAAGACATTTACACAAGGTTATACATTGGAAACTTTATCTTTATGACTGACATCATCACTCACAATGAGTTTGGATTATGGAGAAGCTCCTTTGAAAAGAGACCTGCTTTAAACATGAACCCAATCAAGCCTGTCCAAAACTTCTTCCAGCATGCTGTTTCAGCCCATAACTCTCCATGAACTGGGAGAAACTCCTGTAGATAAATGTCACGAATCAACATCAGAAGCTCATCAGGAGTATGTGGATATTGTGCCAGGCAGTGGTGAATTATTTTGAAAAGTGATCCCAACTAAATTTTGAGTGGTATACTTGAACTTTTTTTTTGATACACCAATAAAGAAAATATGTTTCATCAAATAGGAGTCCTTTGTCAATCTTAAAGCAAAAATGTCCACATTAAAACATCTATTTAACATTAGCCTTTTTATGTGATATAAGTTTTTTTTCACTTTTTTGTTCTTGATTTCATTTTACCATAGCATTTTTGTTAGCTGGTTTTTCTTCTTGAAAATATTTTTTCCACTCCTATGTAAACAACAAATATAATACAACTAACCCTAAACATCGATACAACAGTCTACATCAAAGGATGACTTCCTTTTTACAATGTTTCTCAGGCTGCCTTTATTCATGTGGACTTAACCCTTTTCAAACCACTTTGTCAAAAACTAGGTACAATTGTCCCATCATGTTTTAAGCACTTGTCTACACAGTTGCATTTTTCCTAATGGTTTCTGACTAAAACTTCATCTGCTTGTGTTTAATCATGATGAACTTTATAGTCACTCAGTGTTCCAAAAACTTAATACGTGATTGTTTGCACTTCTTCATCCAACAACATGATTTTGCATCTCAAGACCTTTACTATCAACACCATCTTTTATATGAAATGTCTGATGAAGAGACAGTATTAAACAAACAGTTACATTAAGTAATGTAAAATCCCATAAGTTAAAAAACTTACAAAACATTAAGGGTCATTCTTACATTGTCTATGGCCAACCAACTAAAAAATCCTACTTGAGATCATATCGAACAAACATCTAACCAACTGATCCATAAAGTTTAAACAAACCATACCGATAACTCAAGCTGAAAGGAACACTAATCGTACAGAAATTTCATCCAATCAGGCCATCACTATCCCTCCTGACCTTCCACTATTAGACACTGAAAGATCAGTTTTGAGCAACTGTCTTAAATCTCTTCCTACATATCTTCATACTGATGACTTCTACACTAAATGAGATGTTGCACATTTTTTTTCTTTTTTACACTTACAAGCCCACTTCAGCAACAATAACTCTGTTGACAATAACCAAAATACAGACTGAAATCCTTTCTTTCCCTAATGAAAGTCCTTTTATTTTATTCAAAAGACACAATAAAACTTAACACTTAGCCAAGGAAAATTTCCAACTTTAGAATATTTTATTGACAAGCGTCAAGAGAAAATCCACAAACTCAATTTCTTTAATAAATTCATGATTAAACACAATATTAACATAGATGAGAAAAAAACAAAAAACTTGAAGAACTTAAAGACAAGACATGACATCATAATCAACCTTGCAGACAAAGTTGGTGTTATAGTCATATGGTGTAAGGACTTGTATATAGTAGGAGCAGAACAACAACCCTGTAATGATGAATACTATTTTAAACTATAAACTGATCATCTTGAAGAAAACTAAACCACTGTAAAGGAAACCATAAACTATTTAACAGATGCAGAAGAACTCCCACTAGATGTGCAAGACTTAATTGTAGAAGAACCAACAACATCCTTGTTTAAACATGTAATTGTCCTATAGTTAATTTCCAGTTTTTTAGATGAAATCGAGACATCTTTGGTACATACTCTTCCAACTTATATGAAAGATAGCATTGAAGCTCTTCAAATGTTTAATAAAATATCCCTAACTACTTCTAATCTATTACTACTTACAATTAACATCAAGTCCTTATATGCTGTCATACTGCATACTGATGGTCTTAAAGCTATGAAGTTCTACCTCAACTACCAATAAGTGCTAGAACCATCAACAGACACTCTAGTAAGACTATCTGAACTAGTTTTGACACTTAATGCATTTTCTCTCAATGATTCATGTTACAAACAATTAAAGGGTGTAGCCATGGATACCAAGATGGGACTATCATTTGCTAATAGTCTAGGAGCCAAATGCTCAAAAGTGTCATCTCGTTGCTCTCCAAAGGTGGAAAAGAATTGATGGAAAGATTAGAGTCTCAGGATCAATATTAGACCAGGTATCCATTTCTTAGGTGGTATCAGCATGTTCAAAATTGCACCTTCATAAAGGTACCCTATCTGACCAAAACAACAAAGAAAATGTTTTCAAATTCGGACAATTATTTTTTGGTTTTTGGCACAGAACACATGGACTAAATTATGGTCTGAATCGTATTGTGCAAAACTAAAACAGAGTTGCAATAGTTTTTTAGTATGTTGCTGAGATTTATCAACAATTTCAATAAAAATAGCTCTGTTCAATGCCAAAGTCTCCAGAAAATATGTATAACAAAATATGTAAACTCACATTTAATTATATGCCAAAGTAATTATATTATTGATTCTTGATTTTTGTTTCATATATATTATATCGTGAGGCCTATTTGTTTTGCAGTGTGAGCAAAATCAGGTACAGGAGTAAATCCACAATTCGCTGTTGTGAATGAATCTAGGTTACTAAATTTCCAGTCTTTAATAAATAGGATTTATGTCTGTGACAAATCACATTATGTCCCAGTCAATGATATTGTGCATGCCCTCAGCCACCAACTCTGTGCTCTACTACCAGTGTTCTATTCTCTGACAGCAGTGACTCAACCAGCAGTTTTTGAGGGTAGGGAAAGATCAAGACATGGCAGATCTTCTCACATAATATAGACAAATAACAAGACATGCATTCTATTGGGAATGACCTCACAGGGTGCTACAGAATTTTTCTTACAAACACTGTATGAAAAGAACTCAAAAGTAAATGACACAAATGGTCTACGATATCATTTATTTTGTCAGAAACAGACTAAAAATGACACAATGCTTCCGACCAAAGACAGTCTATGCCAACACACAAAATGAGTGAGTTATACAACTTACCTCTGGAAAAAAGCACTGGACCCCAAACAAAGCATTGTACCTCCAGTAGATCATGGATGGATCATATATGACAGCAACCTTGTCCCCACCCTTACTACACAACCTGCAACTCCAAACATATTACTTGAAATGGTTAAATGTTGGTGTCTTAAAGTATGTTCCACTAACTGCAAGTGTTGTAAACTAGAACTAGCATGCACCGAAGCATGCAAATATATGGCTTGCCTAAATCCAAACACTGACCACATTGAAGCTGAGAGCGATTCAGATGACTATTAGTTGTGTAACTAATATTCCTTAGTTTATAGAGATTTCTTCTAGCAAATGTACAATTTTAGTGTACAGTTATCACTTTGTGTTATAACAATAGTACATATAGTATGTAATGTCAATCTGACATGACAGTACTTTGTGGTGTTTGACAGGAATAATGTGCATAGATCATTCTGAACTTAATCTTCATCAAATATACTGTGCACTAGCATACATATTTGTATCTCATGTGAACAACATTGTTGCTCAAAGATTAGTTGCTATTAAAAACAATCATATTATTCTATTTTGTGAATGCAAGGGCAATGATTTGATTTTAATTACAAGAATGCAGGCTGCTCACTTTGTAAACAAGTAATTACTAACAAAAATATCATTCTATGTATTTGGTATGTATTATGTAATCATTTCCTGAAATACTCTTCTTAAGTTCATATAAAGGAACAGGCATATGTAAGTATAGGAACCCAATACATGTATAATATAGCCAGTTTATATTTTGGCAGATGATTATATGTTATTAAAGAAAATGTTGTTTATTATTCCTATTTTCTAGTGATTTTGGTATTGAACAGAACTACTTTTATTGAAGTTGTCAAATCTCAGCAATATAGTCAAAAACCATCCCAACTCAATAACTTTATACCTTTATTCTGTGCCAAAAAATAATTGCTTGAAGTGTTTAACTGATGGTATCAGGAGGACAGCCAAGAGGTTGGCGTGCTTGTATTTGGAATCACAGGTTCAGGGGTTCAAATCCTGGTAATTCCACCAAAATCTTACTGGTTGTGACGCATATAAAATGTCTGACATAACACCTGATGATGGCCGGAAAATTCACTGGTGGAAACATTGTGAAAATAATAATACACATAATAAAGATGAGAATAATAGTCCGAATAATTATACCATTACAAATGTTTTTTATTAATTATATCATTCAAAATATTCAAGAGCCATGAGCAGCTGTAGTTTTTGGCATATAAATAATTAATGGACTGCAAAGTGAAAGGATATATTGAACCAGCAACATTTAATATATAATAATCCTTAGTCACTCACACATTCATAATTTAACTTCATACACTATACAGAAAAATGGATACAAACTTGCAAATAAAAAATGAGCAGTTACAATTTTGTGAATCCAGTGCTTAAAACCACAGTTTAAGAGCATGTACAGATCATGTCTGGATTATAGTTACAGGTGCTATTTTGACATGCCTGTTTTGTAAAGAAATTAAAAACTGAACTTCTACTATATATTCAAGGTAAAATGTTTATGCTGTAGAAAAACAAAATAAGTACTCCAGGCTCATGTAGTTCTTTCAAACATATTTTCCTTTCTGATATCAATTTGAAGCCAACTATAAATGACTAGTGTTTTAAAAGAGCTAAACAAGCTTTCTGGTTGACAGACACTAACTTGTTCAACACATAATAAATGCAAAAATCTTGTCGCTGTTTTTCATTTTTGTATACAAAGCAACAACATTAAAATATCAGTAACTTTACATATTTACACTTTAAAACAGTTTCACAAAAAACCTTTCACATCACGATACATACAGTAGTTTAACAACTAAACATTATCTCTTTTGCCCCTGATGAAGAAAGGTCTACCTTTTGAAAGCTCTTAGGTTATAGGGTTTCTTATTTTTGTCTTTAACTGATCTTTTTGCACCTATGTTTATTACAACCATCATGAATGAATCTCCATGTAAGGAACATGAACCTAAGTCAGGCCTTTACAATATACATCGGAAGTCATTGACTCTCATTACTACAAATTCTTGAGAATGTGCTGTACAAATCATATTAATACTTCCAAATTACTTCCTTTATGAACCTTCATTTTAATGGCCAAGTCTCCTCTCCTAAACGAAAAGGAGAGAATCTTGATAAAATGTAAAAACTACTGAAACACTGATTTAATTATTTAACAAGATTGAAGTATTTAGAACATACTGCATAAAAACTCAAGAAGATATTTTTCTTACCTTTTATTTAAAGTCTTCTCAATCTAGACTGAAAAATTACATGTTGTACCTCATGCTGTAAATTAGGAGCCAAGAAGCATTTTCTTTGGAAAATTAAAAATACTACCTTTGTAAATTTTTATAAACATATTTCTCACATATATAGATTTAAAATTTTCACAGAAATTGTGTTCACAACAGAAAATTTTCTTCTTCCAACACACTTGTCTCAAATTCATACAGGATATGTATTTTATTATAATTAAGAACTGCATTGTAAGCAACAAAATAGTAATTTAAAATAATGTAGTTTCACAGTAACAATTCATCATTAACCCTTTTGCACAAGGTACCCCTTTAAACACTTTTCTGCACAAGTCATTGTGTTACATTCAAAATTTAATTAAACACCTTTACTATCAATGTATGTAAATGAATTAACATTATAATGTATTTCATGATACAAAGTAATATGCTATCTAATTTTTAAGTCCATTATTCAAAAAAAACCTTTACAAAACTACTTTAAACTTCAGTTGTATTGTCATGTGACCCACAAGCTATAAAATTCTCTATTTTGGCATTCTGTATCTTCAATAATATAATGCCAGTTCTGTAGATTTACATCTATACAATAAAATGTTTTCTTAACCTATTGACACATACATTTCACAGTTTTCTGTATGAATGTAATTGAAACAGATAATAAATTGTGTCAATTCCTGACTGGTGCCATACCCATTTTCAATAGATTTGTTTGAGCTTTATAGCCTACACGTAAGTGTTACATACACACATATATATGGTCATTATAAAGAACTCATTTTACACTATAATTCAACAACAATTATTTTGAAATTGGCATGTAGTTTTTGTCACAGGGTACATGGAACTGCCTGTAGTATTGTTGGCTGCTTGATCGACTATAGCGTTTACGGTTGTTTCTTACTGAAATATGTTATTGTTAAAGATACAGTTAAATTGCATTTAGGTTTCACTTTTATATTTTAGTCAATTATGTATTAGTTAAAATGCATAATTGAAAGTTTAAACATTTTTTAAATAGACATCATACTTTTTCATCAGTTCTCAAGGTTCTCAAAAATTTTGCTTAAGGGTTGTGTGTCACTGCTGGAGCTACTGTAATGTGCCTCGAGGGCAACGCTGACTTGTGTCAAGACGAATAATAAGTGGTAAAGGACAAGAAAGGGAAATAAAACATTAACAATTAATTATATGAGAAAAGGAAAAAGACCTGAAATTAGGAATATATCCAAAAGCAAATCTTTAAAGATATTCCACAAAAAACTAAAAGGTATTTTTTTTTCTATATCCTAATTTAAATAATTTCATTACATTGTACTTTGATGATAATAGCTAGAGTTAGTGATATGGTAGAGAAAATGAAAAATAAAATATAAACATTTACCTTAAAAACTTTTGATATTCATTTAGGAGGTTCTAGGAATTATGAAAATGAAATATGAAAACTACAAGATGAAGTAGAGTACTTTTATAATTAAAATTAAAATCACTATGCATTTGATTTATTAAAAGTTTGAGTGCAAGTAACTACAATAGAAAAATAGCATATGTTTATTAAAAACAATTAAAATTATGTAATTCTTTAAGTGCAAGATACTTATGATCTTTAACAAAATCTTACCAGCTTTTGAGAGGATACATGTTAAGAAATCTCAGAGTTACAGTATGTATTGTTGCACAAGTGAAATTCCCAATACAGTGTTTCATAAATTATCTGAGCCCATTGCAAAAAGGTTGACCTGAACCAAAACTTGAATTTCTTACAACTCTTATGTGATTTACAACTATGGTATAATATAGACATAGAAAATTCAGTGTTGTGCAAATATAGTTCATTATGAGAATTAGTCGGTACTACATGTACCTGTCAGTATATGGAAATCAATTTCTCTTTAATACTTTACTTCAGGCCACCAGGTTAACTTGTTCTTGCTTTTTTCCATGCCAAATGATCCCTTTCTCTTGGAGAAGCCTGCACGTTACAGGTCTCATCCACTAACAGAGTAACAGTACCTTGTACTGTTAGAATTTTTCATGGTGGGTTTTCAGGTGACAATTATTGGTATTTCTTGTCATAAACCTACCAGATAAGAATAAATAAATATGTTAAGGTAACTAATAAAACTGTATTTTCAATCCTGATCCTGCACTGACAATTAAAATTATGGCTTTTATTTAAAAAAGAAACAAGTACTAAAATAACTATCATAACAAAATGTAACATGGCAATTCAAACTTTTTTTTGACTGCTGTTAGATTTTGATAATTCTTTACTGTCACAACCCTGAAACCTTATTACACTTAACAAAGAATGTATTAAATTCATATGAATTCAAAGTTTAGGTAAAAGTAATAGAAATTTTGAAAGAAAAATCTGTCCTTTTAGATATTCTTCATATTACATTAAACAAAGTAATGACCAATATTTATTACCCAACTAACTTACTGGAAATAAATTGGTGTTTGATTACAAGATTTGTGAAATTTTTAGTTACTTGTCTAGTGTGTGTTATTTTATCTCTTTTCACATAAGCTCGGTTGAATCAACTTAGTTTGCAACCAATTTGTTCTCATTACAGTTTCCATACTATAACTTTTAATTCAGTATGTATATCTTCACAAAATCTGTTAGACGTTCGGTAAATATTACAACACTTTCGTAACAAAAAATAAAGATTTTTTTTTGATTATGTATTTTTAATAAAGATTTGTCTGTAAATACATTGAGTATTTTTGTTTACTGGTAATTTTCATGTTAAGATTAAAAAGGCTTATTCATCTGAAAATTTTCAAATTACATTTGTATAATCTCTAAAACCTCCTACATAATTGTAAAATGTTATTTCAGTAAAACATTATATTTTCTCTACCCTAGCTCTGTATATGAGGTTGGTCAATTTGACTGACCTCATAATCACCAAAAAAAAAATCTAATTAAATCTAAATTATGCTCTTTTCTTTCTAGAATGATTTAAAATGTTAATATGAAAATACATTTGTTTATCCTAAGTAGCTTTAAACTCATAACAGTATACACCTGTTTGTAGCATGTCTAAATTAATATCCCTACCATAAAACTTTTCAATTAGTGAATGTGGAGTTCATGTTATCCTATTGAATTAAATAACGTATGGACTACTTGTGAGCTCCTAGCAAGCATATCTCGTGAAAAATTTTTATTATTATTATTATTATCTAATTTAACTAAACTAACCTAAAAAGTTCTAAATTTTTACATTTTAGTTACTTTTATAATAATAAATAAGGAAAACATCTGAAAAAATAAGAGGAAGTACTTAGCTGGGTCTTCTTTTTTTCCTGTTGATTACATTAAAGGTACTAATGCACTAAATAATTTTTTATTTAATTAAATAATGTACCAAAGAACACAGAATAATAATGTGCAAAAAATAGACAAGGTCCCATAACTATCACAAATTTTCTGCCTTTCTAACTATGTGACAAGAGCCATTAAAACTTCATCTAAGCTCACTGATGTTTCCCATGGGAATATAGCATGAACTGGAAGCAAAATAGATAATTCTCTGTACAAGAAACAATGTAATATAATGTGTCCTTTGATAGATTAAAATACTGGCTTTCAATTGGTTATAAATAATACAGTATTAAACTTGAGAGGGAACTATTGGCAATTTCTGAAAGAGAGGATGTGACAGGAGGGCATGACAAGGGGAGCCTGATTTTCTATTTTATAGCTCTGTACCAAATAAGATTGAAGACTATAATAATTATGATTTGCCTGAGCAATAAAAACATTATAAGGAGTAATTTATGTTAAATTTCATACTTCTTGGAGGGGTGGTAAATAAATTAGAAAAGAGGGGATACCTAGAGAGCAAATGTCTCAATTCTCACACTAGCGGAAATTAATGATTTTTTTATATTGCTTTATAGAATTAAGAATTTAAAAATTATATAATGTTAAAATATGGATTATTAGCTATATTTTTAAGCCAAGTTTATTTATATACCATGATAAGAAAGAAGTTTAATTAAATTTTGAATGTAACTCACTTAAACCTCCTGTCATGCGCACAATATTATGCCCAATCTGAAAGTTTTTTAAATTTAAATCTAACACAATTTATAGTCATTAAGGCAAAAACAACTTTGATGCTCTACAATTCAATCTGTGATACATGTGATAGCAAAAATGATCAGGTTGTTAAGGAAAATATAGTGTTCAATATTTTTAAAACTGTTTTTAACAACTTATGACCACAGTCTGCACACTCATAAAGTGCTTCCTCAGTATGCTGCCTTAGATGTCCCTTGTAATGACTTAGATGGCAAAAATTCTGACCATATTCCAAACACACAAAATGGCTTTTATTATTATGGATTAACATATGGTAATTCAGGCTATGTTGGAGGGTAAAAGTATATCCACATACTGTACATCTAAAGGGTTTTATTCCTGAAAAAACAAAGTGAATTCTCAAGTTAATGATACAAGTCAATAAAACTTGTATTACTATAAATTATGGCATTAGTTTGAGTTATCTGCCAATCAACATAACAAGTAAGCTGTGGGGTTATCAGGGTATAAATATTTCATCCTGCACAAAGATTAAAAATTTTAATAAGCTGCTTAGTCTTTCTTATAGCCTGATGGTTAAGAGCTGAAGACTATACAATCTTGGTACTGCCATTACTGCAACATCACAATAATGTTACAAAATTCAGAACTACTGGTGTACTTTATTAAACTTTCATTAGGTTGACCAGTAAGTCTGAGCTTAATGTCCACCCCATAGTTTAATATATCTGACTTTTAAAGATTGTCATTGGTATTGAAGTTATGAGAATGTAATTAGCACATTGATATTTTAATCTGGCTTATGTGACTTTGAATGTAGGTATTTTAATGAACAGTACTAATTAAAATTGAAATATATTCAAACATGAATAATCATCATTGGTCAATGGATAAAATGCAAAATTTGTTTATAAAAAAAATAAAGTTTGTATCAGAAAGAGAACATATTTACTGTATATTAAAATTACAGGAATAATGATTGTGGAAAATCATTATGAAGCTCTATTTTTATAAGTGGGTTAAAAAGCAACATTCTGATGTATTTTTGTTTAGTTTTTGAAAGAAATTACAAGCATGTAAAAGTTGTTCAAGTGAAAATTATGAAAGCACCATCATTGAAAGAGTTAATCATATTTTAACATAAATACAAACTTCTGTGTATTGAAAACATTTATTGTATACTCATAAAGTTTTACACTAACTTTTTCATACTGTCTTTCTCTGTAGTTATTAAAACAGTAGTATTATACATACTTTAGTAAACAACATAATTAAGTCACTTTAAATTTAGGATGTCTTGGTACACCCATTCTATTAAGCAACACTATACACAAAAGAACAAATGAGCATGATATACATGTATATTTTGTTTGTTGTTAAAAACAACTGCAACACAATGTTCCCACTAGGGGCATCAAAACCCAGTTTTTAGTATTATAATACCATCGACCCATGGGGGGGGGGGGCTATACATGTAGTTAAAACTCTTCTACAAAAAAAAGATCAAGATACCAAAATCCTGCACATTATATGCATCATAAGTATTGGTACTTAAGTTAGAATATAATTATGAAACTAATATTTTAAGTTGGCTTGTGTAACTTTAAAAGTATTTTAATAGAGAGTACTAATTAAAATTAAAGTATATTTAAACATGAATCATCATCAGACAGTGAATAAAATACCAATCTTGTTTATAACAACAAAGAAAAAGGAAGAGAGTGTGTGTTAGAAAGAGAACACTTCTACTGCATATCAAAATACATGTAAGAATGGGATTGACTCTCTCTCTACAGCCATCTTGACCAACAACTCTCTGATAGCCATGGAATGAAGATCCAAACTCTGTGGATCTGTTGGGAGTGGAAATATCACAGGTTGAAAGGATAATGGATTTGGAGATGTGAAGTGAATGACCAACCTGAGACCAGAACCTGGAGTAACCATGGGTCTGTGGTGAAGGAATTCCAGATGTCCAAAAAATGTTGTAACTGCACTCCCACAGACCCCACCAGCATAGGGTAGTAACTGATGCTGCTGACATGGTATGCCTGAGCAGTGGAACCTTTTGGATAAGGATGGAATCTATTCTGGGTCCCAATAGATCGAGGAGCACAGGTATCCCTTTACATAACTGAGTGGTAAACCTCCCACCATGAACAGTATTATCAGGTGAAAGAGGAAACTAAGTATTTGCCCTCAGACCTTTCTGCCATCA